GTTTTAGCTAGGTGTACCTAATAAACTGGCAACTGAGCGTATTGTTCTACACATGTATACTTAACTTGTGGCTGTTGGTTCACCTTGTGGCCTGTTTAGAATAAAACAATTATTTAAAAAATCCCATCTATCTGAGTTCCAGGACATCTCCTGTGTCTCGTGGAGCGAGGAAATCGTGTCACACGCTTTAGCTAATGCTAGCGAGCTAAGCTTGACTAAAAGGCTTCCTTGCCAGCTGAGGTCCGTAGATCACTGAATCACTTAATTAATCATACCACATTCTATTTTCCCACTGTGTATAAAACAATCAAGATGATATCATTGATATACTGTTGAATATGACCCAGCGTTCCTAGAATAGGATGCTCTGTCTTCTCCTTTGTAGTATGAAGATGTTGTGGTTTCATGTCCAGCTTTTCCTCCCTGCGTAGTATCTTTCCAAATGCTCCAAGGCTAAGGGACGGTTCTGTTTAAAACCATTATCTGACTGGAGCTCGTTCATCTCTACCAGCACCAGGTCTGCTCCAGACTATCAGAGAGGGAGTCGTCCATGTTTGGCTAACAAAACAGGTCATCACCTGCCTTCCATCCAACGCTGTGTTTAAATATGAGACACATGTGACAGCTGTTATGACTTCAGACGTACACATTGTTGTATGTATATGTTTAGGTCCCTATAGGCCAAATAAAATGAGCAAAATACATCTTAGCATGTGTTTTAACCTACTTAGATAAAAGTAAATAAAAAGTAAATCCTGTTTTTGTGTGTATGGTGTGTCTCCGCCTATCTGGATTTAAACAAATACAGTAGTTACACATTTTGTATATATATATATACATTTTATATATATATATATTCATTAGTGAGCTAGTTGGTGGTAGTGTATTTTTGAGCTTTGGACAAATAGGCAAGCTGATTTCCAGTGTTTCCAGTCTAACTGCCTCCTGGCTCCAATGACTATTTAGCTACCGCACAGACATGAGAGTAGTATCGACATTCTCATCTACTCTTGGCAAGAATGAGGAGAAGCCTGTCTCCCAAAATACCCCAATGTTGTTCAGCCTTAAACTGCATTGACTCCATCTTTTTGTTTTTCCTAAAAGAGCTTGAGGTTTTGTATGACCATAAAGTTAGAAGCCAAAAACTGCAAATATTTTCTCGGCTAATTGCTAATAACCAAATAAACTATGACTATGAATTTTTTTTAAATATTTTTTTAAAGGGCCTATATAGTTGCAAACTCCCTGAAATGGAAACACGGGGGAGTGCGGTCATTTGCGTATATAACAAATACAATGTGTTTTACACCTGATTGACTGCATTATTATTACATACACTCACCTAAAGGATTATTAGGAACACCTGTTCAATTTCTCATTAATGCAATTATCTAATTAACCAATCACATGGCAGTTGCTTCAATGCATTTAGGGGTGTGGTCCTGGTCAAGACAATCTCCTGAACTCTAAACTGAATGTCAGAATGGGAAAGAAAGGTGATTTAAGCAATTTTGAGCGTGGCATGGTTGTTGGTGCCAGACGGGCCGGTCTGAGTATTTCACAATCTGCTCAGTTACTGGGATTTTCACGCACATCATTTCTAGGGTTTACAAAGAATGGTGTGAAAAGGGAAAAACATCCAGTATGCGGCAGTCCTGTGGGCGAAAATGCCTTGTTGATGCTAGAGTTCAGAGGAGAATGGGCCGACTGATTCAAGCTGATAGAAGAGCAACTTTGACTGAAATAACCACCTGTTACAACCGAGGTATGCAGCAAAGCATTTGTGAAGCCACAACACGCACAACCTTGAGGCGGATGGGCTACAACAGCAGAAGACCCCACCGGGTACCACTCATCTCCACTACAAATAGGAAAAAGAGGCTACAATTTGCAAGAGCTCACCAAAATTGGACAGTTGAAGACTGGAAAAATGCCTGGTCTGATGAGTCTTGATTTCTGTTGAGACATTCAGATGGTAGAGTCAGAATTTGGCGTAAACAGAATGAGAACATGGATCCATCATGCCTTGTTACCACTGTGCAGGCTGGTGGTGGTGGTGTAATGGTGTGGGGGATGTTTTCTTGGCACACTTTAGACCCCTTAGTGCCAATCGGGCATCGTTTAAATGCCACAGCCTACCTGAGCATTGTTTCTGACCAGCAGGATAATGCACCATGTCACAAAGCTCGAATCATTTCAAATTGGTTTCTTGAACATGACAATGAGTTCACTGTACTAAAATGGCCCCCACAGTCACCAGATCTCAACCCAATAGAGCATCTTTGGGATGTGGTGGAACGGGAGCTTCGTGCCCTGGATGTGCATCCCACAAATCTCCATCAACTGCAAGATGCTATCCTATCAATATGGGCCAACATTTCTAAAGAATGCTTTCAGCACCTTGTTGAATCAATGCCACGTAGAATTAAGGCAGTTCTGAAGGCAAAAGGGGGTCAAACACAGTATTAGTATGGTGTTCCTAATAATCCTTTAGGTGAGTGTATACTGTACCTAAATATACAATCTGTTTGGTTGTAACAAGTCCTACTCATACGATATATCTAGCTAAGCAAGATATTTTTTCCTGTTCATCGCTGTGCAAAATGTAGGTGAACAAAAAACTGTGAGAGCTCCCTGAGTCCTCCGAAGCCTCGTTCCTCTTATGATTCACTCCTGATCCATGTTGCAACGGAGGAGACACTTATTAAGTGGGGGGTCTGGGGGTACTACCACACTTAATTTCCTGCATTCTGGTGAAATCTTCTGCACAAATTTCTGCCTTTCCTGCATCAATTTATGGTGGAAATGTTTCATTTACGTTATGTAAAGGGAAACACAAAACTCCGCTGGCAGATAACTATAATATAGATATAATATATAAAATATAAAAACGTAACAGAATATAATACAGTAGGCCTATAAAAGACTTTTTTTTCTTTCATGATTTATTCTTCCCTCCTCTCTTGTGTCATGGTCTAGGGAAGTAACCTTAAAATGTGCTTCTGGCACCTATATTCACATTAGTGATAAATAAATTCATTTTAACAATTTATAAACTCCTGGTCTTATAGCTCCTGTGTTTCAGCAAATGTTCTGCTCATGTTCAAACCTTTCTGCACATTTAGACTCTCCCATATATGATCTGTGTTCGGTGAATGCCTGTGTCCCACCAGCTGGGTGGAGTAAATTCGCACGGACGTTGTAAGTTATCCATTTGTTTGTCTAATGCAAGACAAAATTGATGTTTGGCATGAGAGCATGTGAAAAGTACCAATTGCATGAGTCTCACGCTCACTGCGAACAAATGCTTTGTTTTCTTTTTGCCACTTTGCTCTATATTTCTGTAAACGTTTTGTCTTTTTTACTGGCAGAGTGACAGATGTGTTTAGCAACACTGACAGCCCTTTTCATTGGTCGATAAGAGAGAGAGAGATAGTATCCCTTATTAGTTCAATAAGGGACATGTCTTTTAGTTTCTAAATACGGGAAGATTCCATATTTTAAGGGACGGTTGGCAACCCTAGGGCTTTATGTAGTTTTCAGCGGCCGCTAGTGGTGCGGATTTTAGATTGCAACTTGGTGTGTGCTTGTACACGTGTTTGAACCCATGAGCAAGCAAAATCCGACACATCACAGCTTCACACAACTGGAAACTTAAGTGAACTCCCACTACAACGTTATTATTTTTTACAATATCTTTTAGCAGCCTGACGCTGAAGCTCGTTGCATGATAACGTTTCATTGACTGTATTTAGTTGACGTGATACATTAGCTCATCTGCCGCTGTTCAGTCACTATTTGTGTATCTTTCACCGGAGGCTCAGCAATGTGAGCACAGCTAAATGTATTGGATGATGACAAAACGGTTGGTAAGCTTGACTGAATATTGTAAATGAGACTGTTGCCACACTTTATAAAAATTAGACCGCAGTAAGTAACATTACTGTAGTGAATGGTTCTTCCACTGTGTTGTTGTCCTGCGTCATTATGTTGCATTATTGTATATTACGTGGGTCACGTAAGTTAAAGCGACTGAGACGGTGGAAAAACTATGTACCTGAGTATCAGTAAAACAGCAATAAACAAAGCAAACAGCGGCGGATCCATGCTAACGTTAGCTGGCTGCTCCTGCCTTGGGAAAGGATGAACAAATCGCTCCACAGTTGCTTAGTACTGTAAACATTGTTTCTTACACTCTAAAATCATCACTTTGACATAATACCGGTGATACACAGGATAGAAGTATGGATCAAGTTAGCTGGTGAAGTAATGTGGAAAGCTATACAACTGCAGTATTTCGCACCGGATAACGTTAGCAACTGCTCGGCATTAGCCGGCAAGCTAATGTTATTTAATTTGAGCGAACTTAACACATGCTTTGCAGTAATGTTAAGTTTACATGTTCAATAGGATGAAATCCAACTCTGTGTCTGTTTCAAAACAAAGTTGCGATTTCTCCGTGACTACAGCCTTTCTGATGCATACCGTGTTTTCACTCGAGGTCGATCTGATTCTCGTTTGGCCTGAAGGGCTTCAGCAAATAAAACTTTGTTGTTTGTTTTTATCCTTACTGGATTTTGTGTCTGCTAGAATGTATTAATAAACTCTGTTATTGTATGTTAGTTAAGCACTCTTTCCTGGCTTGTAAAAGTGTAACAAATGAAATGTCACTTGACTTTCACTTCCTTTTTTGGCTATCAGAGCTTTAAGTTGAGGTTTATAAATATCTAGGATACATGTTGCAGAAGCGTCTGAAGGCCATCACAGAAGGTGTGAAACCAAATCACATTCCAGGCTACGGATGTTAACCAGGAATGTTTTCTTATCCTTTTCGAGCTGTGGTGATAACAGCTTTCTATCCTATTCACTTCATATATGTACTCTGTAACCCTGGACAGTGGTGAAAAACAGTCTGCCAGGGGCTGATGGATGAAAGAGAATACAAAGAAGAGAAACAGCAGAACAAGATTTAATGGACACTGCTGCCTCCTCATCCTCAGCATGACCAGCGACCTCCCTTCAGGAAAAGACAAATATACAACTGCTGGTACTTCCTCCCTCCTCCTCCTTCAGTGTGCACTTCCCCTTTAAAGTATCTGAGAGGAACAGCCTCACACTTGGCTGCTCGCTCTGTCTCTCTTGTAGTTTGTGGGTGTCTTGACTGAAAGGATAAAGAAGAAGAAAGAAGAAGCTCCTCTAGTTTATGGTGGAGACTGCACCTTGTTAATGCTTATGCAGGTGATTGTGATAAGCAGAGGAACAGGCTTGAAGTTAACGGGAGAGGGAAGCTGTATTTTATTTGCATTTCCTTTGTCAATGGATACATGACTGGATTGTTCATCCCTAAAAGGTAAAAAGAAAGTTTTGTTGCTTTTTGTTTAGATAAAGTTAATATTTTGCAACAGATCATTATGTACATCTAGTTATTTGTTTTAAGTCATATCATTGCTACTCTGTAAAATCCTTTTTGACATTACATGGATTACAGGATTACAAATAATTTGAAGTATTTGTAATGTGACGCAGCATTTCAATGCATGAAAAAACAGTGGCTCCTATGTATTGCAAGTGCCTCTTATTAGAAGAAAGTTGTGGAAAATATAATACAATTAAGGAAAAATTTAAGTTACAGATAAATCCAACATAGCCAAGCAGAAAGCATAAAATTAAACAAAATTGCATTTAGCAGTAATGTTGAAAACCCTTTAAAGCCAGTATTTGCTTAAACTGCTTTGATATCATCAAATTGTCTTCATTGAGCATGCTTACCTGCAAATTGTATTTAATGTATGTGGACATTGCAAACACTGGCATGTTGCAATATTTACTTTTAACGCCATTACCATTTATAATGTTCACGCTTGCATATAAACAAGTGTTGCACAGTTGCAAATAATAACAGTGTTTTAAAAACCTTAAAGCATGACACATTGAGATAACTAAAGATAATAAAGTGTAATCATAAAGTATGTAGATAAAAATTATGTAGATAAAAATATGTGTAACATATCCAGTAGATGTGCTTCATAGTAGTTCACTGTGAGAATCTGTGAACATTTCCCCTGACTATACAGGGACATAAAGTCAGATAATAATAATAATTAAATTAAATTATCTCCAGGACATTGTATCACTTTCTATAATATAATAGAGTCCAATAGCCTGTTAGCTAACTCCAGAGTCCCTGCTGATGAATTACTGAATGACAGTGGCCTCACATTCATCAACGCGTGCTCTTATCTCGGCCGTTAGCTAACAAAGGGGCTAAATTTGTTTCAGTGGTCAAGGCATGACTGACAGGAAACCGGCAGGCTATATTTGTTGTGTTGCACCTGTTCTTTTCTATGTGTCTTTATTGGCTTATCTTCTCTTCTCATACAAAGACACCAAAGAAAATATCTGATATATATATATAAACTGTTTCTTGCCCAAATAAATTTATTAAAGTGGGAAATTTAATAAAGGTACTGCAGCTAATAGTATATATAACATAATAAATTTTCCATCTTTTGCTACTTTAAGTGTTGAGGTTTTCATTTTATCTTAATCTTCTGATGTGTCATTGACACCGACTTCCTCTTCATCCCTCTAGATGTAGTGAGAATAAATCATCTCTAAGCTCCTTCTTTCCGCTCTCCACTTGAGAGCAGTCTCGAAACATATTTTCCATGATAGTTGTTTTGTTGTGATAGTAGCATGGCTAGGCTTGAGCTCAACTGAATGTTGAACTGTGAGATTGTATCTTTCAAGAGGTTTGTATACCTGTGGAGTGCCTGGATGGATGTATCTTTTTAAATCTTTTATCTTCTTGAATATCTGAAGTATTCTTGTTCTGAGCTTTGCAGTTACTCCTCCATTTCTGGTCTGGTTTGATTGATGGTTTGATCCATCACTTGCTGTGTTTTCTACTGATCTAATTTTTTCATCACCGCTCAATTGCATTTCCACTGCAAGTTTCTTTCACAAAAAAGGTCAGTAAAAACTCTCAATTCACTTGATATTATGCATGTAGCTGTCATCAATCTAATCCTCATCCTACCCTCAGCTTTTGTGGCACCCACAACCGCCCACTGCTTAAATAATGGTCCTCCTTCACTACAGGGTAGCTGTACCTTGATGGGACTGGATCTGGGCTGCAAATGGGACCGAGTCTGCAGATTTCACATATGATGGGCATCTCTGCGCTGGTCTCTGAGGAGCAGCTCATCTATGCCATCACCATCCCGCTGTCGACCTCCATCATCCTGGCCAATCTCGTCATCATCTTTGGCATCACCTGGAACCGCCAGCTCCAAAACACGCCCAACTACTTCTTCCTAAGCCTGCTAGTGGCAGATTTGTGCACGGGCGTGGCGCTGCCTTTCATACCATTAATGGGTCTGAACCGGGAGTTAAGTTTTTGCTCCTGCCTGGTGGCTCACGTTTTCCCAAACTTCCTCTTCCTGGCGTTCCTTTTCAACCTGGTAATGGTACACTATGAGCGCTACATTTGCATCGTCGACCCCCTGCATTACAATAACTTGTGGATGCATCGCAGTTTTCCTCTAGCGTTGCTTGTGGTGTGGGCACCGCCACTCCTGTTCGCAGCTCTACCTGCCTTTGGTTGGAATAACTGGACAGGAGCAGATTGGAACGACTGTTGTGCAAGTAGCCAAAATAAAACAGCACTTTCCAGCTGTTCAACAAACGGAACCACCTGCTGCTCGTACAGGCGAGTATTTCCCAACGCGTTTATCTACTTGGAGGTGTATGGAGTCGTCTTACCTGCTATTCTTACCATTGCCGGCATGACTGGCCACGTGTTATGGATCACCCGAGGCCAGCTGAAGGACATTTGTCGTCTCCACCGTTCAGTAGAGCGGGGAGCTCAAGCCTCAGACTGTGAGCAGAGGATGAACCTGCGGTACACTCGCTGCGTGGTGGCAGTGTCTCTGACGTTCCTCGCATGCTGGGTTCCCTACCTCATTTACATGCACGTCTGCATAGTGTTCTTGATCAGCGACACCAAGTGGAGCTCCACCACTCACATCGTGCTGTCGTGCACCGGTATCGGAAGCATGGCAGTGGTGCCGCTGGTGCTTGGCCTAGCTAACAGGCAGTATACAGAACCTGCATTTAAACTTCTCCAGAAACTCCGAGACAGATGGAGGCGAAGGACGCAGGGATCAGAGGAGGTGGCAGTCTGAGGAAATACTGATGAATATCAATATTTATGAAGATAATTGTTGATGAACTGCACAGCCACAGTAATTGGATCAAGGCCACAAGGATGAAATATTGCATTACAGCAGAAAAACACATTTGCATTGATTCTTTTACAATTTATTTATCAATGTTCCCAAAAAAAGCAACCTATTGTTTGAAATATTATTTCTGTCTGTAGCTGTCTATTTCTGAAGGTTTACCATTACATTGAGATAATTAAGCTGACAATAACAATAATGAATTTGGAGACAAAATTGAGGACAATTTTTAAACCAAACATTATTTCAAACAAGATAAAGATTAATATTACTGGGGTAAGTACCCTCATGGTTCCAGATGGCACTTTAACCATTGTGAAATTACAGGATATGTCTGTAATAGACTTACATTGACTTTTTGCAGGCCTAGCCAAAAGACATAATCAGCACCAACCTTAAGCTGACGTTACTGTACAACAGCACCATTTGATGAGCTGGTACAGGGTCTTGACCTCCTGATGGCTTTAATTTAAGTCTGTTGTCATATTGGTTTTCAAATAGGCCTTTATGTTGGTGTCAACGGATTTGCATTTTCAAATTGCACACTGAGCTGATAAAAAAATAAAGCTCTGGAAAGGTTTAAATTACAGGTGGACCAGCAAGTTCACAGCAATACTGTTTATTACTGGGTTAGGGGTGAAAAACTACCTACATTTGCTGTCCGGACTAGATGAAAATCACTGATCAGCATAGTTAATGTTAAAATCAGCTCACCTCCCCTAGAGAAATAAATCCAGTTCAAATGGTGCTTATGCCTATACAGCCATTTTGTCTCTGTGAGGCTAATTAGGCACTGCGGTGCTTTGAGCTAAATGCTAACCCTAACCTCATATATAGAAGGTTAAATACTGTAAAAGCAGGCTTGTGTTTCAGAGAAACATCTGCTGCTTGCAGATACTTATATTGAATAATAAAAGTTTTATTTGTTGTAAAGATCCGTTCGAGGAAAATTAGTGTTTTATTTGAGACTTGATTAAACAAAGAATAAATGGCATGCTATTTGTTCCCCCAATCAAAATGTGGTTTTACATGTGTACATATAGTATGTGGGTGGGAGAGAGCCAGCCAGCCAGTAAAGGCGAGCTGAAGAGGAAAAGCAGACTTTAATCAAATTAAAGAGCAAACAAGATCTGAACTGTTGTGGGACATTAGAAGAGATGGGATATCGTCATTGGGTCAGGGTACACCGTCTGTACGTCTTATGTCTGTTTTGCTTTGCTAAGCCATGTTCCAGTGTGTTTTCCACATTGGAATATTGTGTACGTAGGTGTCCGGAAGACAGAGGTGAACCGGGAGAAGAGGAGGAGGAGGAGGAGGGAATAATTAAGACAAAGCGAGACTGTCAGGCTCCATCTACTAATGACTGACTGCTATCTGTATTAAGTAGAAAGCATCTGCACATTTGGGTCTGGATTCGTTATTTTGGGAAATATACGTATTCACTTTCTTTCAGAGAGTGACAACCCTCTCATGTCTCTACGTTACATATATGTAGCTGGAGCCAGCATCCTCTTAGCTTAGCTTAGCATAAAGACTGTAAACAGAGGAAATTAGCTAGCCCGACCATTACCAACTAACTACCCATAAGCACCTCCATAGCTTATTAATTAACAGGTTGTGTCTTGGTTGTTTAATCAGTGTATTGTAGAAATGCCAATTTGCTGTTTTATGTGGGGTTGTGTGCCAGACTAGTTCATGGGAGCAGTTGCCAACTGCTCGTAAAACAGTGAATTGCCATTTTCTTGTACGGATTAAACAAATGATACACAGTGTTGACAAGTATGTTTTAAAGGGTAGCCTACATTTGGACAGAGCCAGGTTAGCTGTTTTCCCTTCTTTTCAGGTTTTAGGCTAGGCTAGGCTAACCATCTCCTGGCCCTAGGTACATATTTACTGTACAGATATGAGAGTGGTATCAATCTACTTATCTAACTCATCTTCTCTTGGCAAGCAAATAAATAAGTGTATTTCCCAATATGTCTTAGTCACTATACTCTTTGTGTGTGTTTTTGAAAGAAGAGTAGACATTGTTCATGTTCCTTTATTTATTAAACGTATTCCATTCCAAATACTTGTCACCCTTGTCACAACAGAAGACTCAAAATTTCTTTGTGATTACTTTGCAATATTTGAGGTACAGTGGTGCAAGTATATGTGAGAGAAAGAGAGCAATTCCAAAATTTAGGACATTTACAGCATTTCAGGCTTGCAAATAAACATTTCCGAGAACACAGAGAAAAACTATTCAGTTGCTCCCAAAGACCCATGTTTTCTTCCCCTTAATGTGGCCTCTTGTGATTCTAGGAAACATTATCTTTGTGTATGTCATTCCTGATATTAACAAGAAGTCGAGCAACAGAAAAGAAACACTCAAAAGTTCCAAAAGTTCCTTATTTCATTGTTCCAGTCATTAAGGAACTTTTTACTCAATTAGATAGGTGGTTTTTTTTTTAACAAAGACAACATTTTATTCCTATTTAGTGCACAAAGGCATGAGAGAAACAACTGCAAGAAAGCTGAAAAAATACACTGATAGTACCGGAAACACCACACGCCCTTGCAAATGCAAACAAAGATAAGAACACCTTTTGAAAAACAGTGCTTGACATAAACAAAATGTCTCCAACTTCAAGTGCAGATTCTAGGAAAAAACGTTCAACTTGCCAAGACGCAGTCTACCAGAAGGCACACACAAACAGATAGGGATAATCATTATTCCATTAAAAATCACTATTATGACGAGTATAATTTAACTTATTTAACTTTTGTAATTCACATTTTGCGGATATACTGTAATGCTGCAGACATAGGTGTGATGGTGATGTCAGTCTTCAGTGTAATGGGAGCTTTCGGACACGACTCTGCCTTCCTCTACTTCCACCCGGATCAGCAGGCGTTTCTTGGAGCCAGGGAACACTGCTGGGTTAAAGATGTCTCCTGGGATTAAGGCAAGTGCTGGGCTGACAGTGTCTGCGGGGATAAAGGTGGTTGCTGGGATGACGGTGGGTTCTGGGGCTCGTGGCTTCTTTGGCAGGTGTTGCTTCAATGGCAGGTGAACTTCTGCGTGCAAGTAAGGACTTGGATTGGTTGATTTGAATTAGAAATCTGAGCGAAAGAGAGGTTTGATTTTAGTGCGACACATTAATCAATCATGGGAATACTGGTATGTACGAAATGGTTGCATTTTGCTACGGTGTCCCTTTTTGTCTTTTAAATTTAATTTTTTTTTAATACTATTTTATATAGTTATGTTTAATGTAGTTTTTGTGTACCTATCAACCTTCCTTGAAAAAAGCTAGTTACTTTAAGTCAAAAGTGTACATTTGGACACCGGTGGAAAGTAACATAAGTACATTTACCCAAGTACTTAAGTACATTTCAGAGGGAAATATTGTACGTTTTACTCCACCACATTTAACTGTTAAATGTTATTTTAAATGCAGAACTTTCTACACTGTGTTTGGCTACTTTTACTTAAGTAAATGATCTAATACTTCTTACACCACTGCATAAGGAATGCAACATGGCTGCATTGCATTCTGGTATATTGAGGGCTTCATTGTTGGGCAAATTAGAAGAAATGCATCAATGTTTTAGTTGAATGGTTCCCACAGAAAAACAATTTCTGCTACACCAACGCGTACACCAACATCTTTTTTTTCAGACTGTCTCTAAAGCTTTTCTTGTGAATCACTGAATAATTTCAACTCTAAAATGATTCACTTAAAACAAGCCAAACATGTTGGAAATCACTGTTTCATTCACTTCTCTCAAGCTGTAGCTGCTCTGGAAGTATTTTGACATGTTTGTATGTTTGTCCAGTACCAGTGGAAAAAAGAAAAATACACCACGAACCCAGCGACCAAACAAACCCAGAAAGGCCATGTTAGTAGTTTTAATAGAGCTGCTAATTCCAGAAAATTCAGAAAAGGTGGCAAAAATATTCTCACCTGCGTTGCGCATGAAGTGGTTCATTCTTCACAGAGATGGAGCAGAGACAATTGTAAATGCAAGGTTTAATGCATCATGGTATATTTCAACAAACAGCAACATGAGTGAATACACTGAGTAAAAACTTGTGCATATTGATGTGCTCTCACCCTCCAATCCCCACAGCTTACATACCTCTGCTCCTCGCCCTCCAGCAGCTTGCGGTAGGTGGCGATCTCGATGTCCAGGGCCAGTTTGAGGTTCATCAGCTCTTGATGTTCGCGGATCTGTCCAGCCAAGTCCTGCTTGGCCCGCTTCAAGGCCTCCTCCAGCTGGGCGATGTCCTCGCGGGCCTTCTCCATGTTGTTGTCCCCTTCTGTTCTTATGTCACTGATCTCATTCTTTAGGGACTCTTCCTAACAGGGAAACAGAGGAAGAAAGGGAAGATCAGAGACTGATGGGATGGATATTGTGTGTGCCTAGGCCTGAATTCTGGGAGAGGTTATCTGTGTGACCCCAACCTTCCTTATGAGAGCGTCCAGGTCCCCGTTGAGCCTCTGGATTTGGCGCACCAGGTCTGAGATTTCCCTCCTTACATCACGCACATCCTTCTCACGCTGTTCTGCACTATGGACCATGGCATCCATCTAAAGCAGTAAAAAGTAAACAATGTGGCAAATGCACGCTTGTTTGAACAGTATCAGGCTTCAAATACTGTACTTTCACTCACATTTGCATCTTGAAGGTTTAAAGCTGCATAGTGGCAATAACAGAATTAAATAAGAACTATTTAGTGGTCTTTCGGTATAATCCTCTTTTTCCTCACCTTTCTCTGGTTCCACTGCTCGGCTTCCTCCCTGGTGCGGGTGGCCATGGCGGCATACTGTTCCTTGACAGCCTGGATGATGTCCTCTATGTCCAGAGACCGTTTGCTGTTGTCATGTAAGATCACTGTCTCGTTCTGGATGTGTGACTCCAGCTCCTTGATCTCCTGCAGGGGGCAGACATGGGTACAACAGCGTTAGTGGAAATAAATCACATTGGTCTATCTGTTTCAAAGTGCTTTTACACTGTATTTGATGACGTGATGACATAAATAATAATAGTACATGCTCCTAGTTGGTTGTTCAGCACATTACTTGAATGTTTTAAAAAAGTTAGTTGGCTCAAATTAGTTGAGCAAGTCCCCTACCTCCTTGTAAGGAACCACTGCTGTTGCGTAACTGTGCAAGTATTGTTCAACTGTCTCCTTCAGATCAAACCGGCTTTACAGAGCAGAGTAAATAATTACCTCATCATAGCCAACCCTGAGGAAGTCCAGTTTATCTATCAGATCCTCCAGCTCCAGAGCCAGATCTACTGCCTTCAAGTTACCTTCATCTGCCTCCTGTTACACACACACACACACACACACACACACACACACACACACACATTAAACACAAATACACATTCATAAATAGATGCCCAGATGGCATAGGGTCAATAAGGTGCTTAAAAATATCCTACTGCCAGAGGTCAGCTGTTTAATATCTACAAAATACAACACAGTATGCACAATACTACAACATTTTACCCAAATGTATTTTAAATGTATAAATGTAATTTGTGACATTATCAGAGTGTTTCGTTGTTTCTAAGTGGCTGAATAAATAAGCAGCATAAGAATCTTACATTACCTTTTTTCTCACGACAAACTCATTCTCCAGATCAGCTTTCTTTTGCAGCTCGTCCTCATACCTGAAACCAATAGAAAATAAAGTGTGAAAAATGAATTTAATGATGGAGGTTTAGTTTAAACGTTGTCCTAAAAGAGAAATACATCAATCAAATCAACTACAACGCGACCTGCTGACCTCTTCTTGGTGTCTTCCACCTCCTCAATGTTCTTGAGCAGCTCAGCCTGCAGTTTCTCTTTGTCCTCGAGCAAATTATCGATCCGCTGCTCCAACTCGTTCTCCACGTGCTTGACGATGTCGTTGATTTTCCCGTCATAGTCCTCCTGCTCCTTCAGGATGTTCAGCTTCGTCTCGAGCTTTCTGTTCTCATTCTCCAGGTGTTTCACCTGAGGCAGAGATAGACAAAGGGGGGACAGAAATGCGGAGGGAAAAGATGGTGATAGTGTAGAGTAAATCTGAGGAATTAATAATACGTAGATAGAGGCTATGTTTTGCATTGCATTATTATACATTCAATGTATCCTTGAAATGAATAGATTTATATTTATATTCACCCAAGTTACTAGAAACAAAGAAAAACTGCACCTTGAGTCTATACATATTTCAAGTTTTGTTGACCGACCTTATACCTCAGACTTGAAATTATATTATCCACAAGGTGGCGTCCTACATGTACCTCCACTATTCTTTGACACTACATGAAGCCCGCAAAAGGAGACACTTTCCATTGCCTCAGGTTACAGAATTGATTGCAGCAGACAGTTTGGAAGAAGTCATGCTCCAGGTTTTGAAACAGGTTTTCATAAAAACAGTGTATCCTCCATAAAGTTTGCACTTTGAGCCTGTACTGTATCTCATGATGGTGAAATGTTGCAGCGGTTCAAATGAATGAAAGGCTAAACGAATGCAACAAACAAAAGGTTTTACTGATCATTTAAAAAATAAAATAAAATTAAGAAGACATATTATAATATATTAAATAGCCTAATTAGAATAGTTTATACTTAAACCCAAGACCAAAACTGTTCTAATACTTTTCTTTACATGTTTTTCTTAATTTATAAATACATAGGCCTAAATAAATTACGTATGTATTTTATGTAGTAATAACTTATGAATAGTGGGAAATAATCAACAATCAATAGCATTTTTATTAATTATTTTATTATTTAGTAATTATTCATTTTAATCACTGAACTGTTCTAGCAAATATTAATAATATAATACGAACCTTGTCAATCAGCCTGACGAACCTGTCATTGAGTCCCACCATGTCGTCCTTCTCCCTGGATTTTCCCGCCGGGTCGATTTTGTTGGTCGGGTAGCTTTTGACCGGTCCTGTATTGCCAGGGGAGTAGGACTGGCTGCTGTAATCTCTTGGTTTGGACATATTGCAGCCTGTGACAGAGCGTTGAAACCTGGAAGCTGATCAGGTGAGCGGTGGAGGTAGGCTACCTACAACCCTCCGGATCACAGCTGCTTTTAAGGTGGACAAGGACCACCCATCACCTCCCCAAAACTCTGCATGCGTCCAATCAAGAGAGGACAAGTGCAACATCAAGGGGAGAAAAATGACAGAGCCAACATGAAAAACTTGAATTTCGACTCTGTGCCAGTTTGTCCAGGGCACCAGGAGCCAATGGCATCGGTGGGGGCGGACTAATGCGTTAAAACCAGGTATAAAACCCACCTGCGCCCATCACATCCATCAGGTGACTCTCCAGTCTGAATTTCTCTCTGTCAGTTGTCAGTGCTCTCACATCCAGCAGCGAACATGCCTTCAAACACCGCCGCCAGCATGTTTGGCGGAGCTGGAGGACGGGGCTCCAGGGCGTCCGTTTCGAGCCTGGAGGGGCTGCGTAGCGTGCTGGGCAGTGAGCCGAAAAGAGACTCCGCTCCCGCCGCTCCCGCCGCTTCCGTCGCACCTGCAACACCTGCCGCTCCGACCGCTCCCGCCGCCCCCGCGGACGACAAGCAGACACTGCGGGGTCTGAACGACCGGCTGTCCGGCTACCTCGATACGGTGAGGCAGCTGGAGAAAGCAAACGAAGATCTGGAGAAACAGATTGATGACATTCTGGCCAAGAGGACAGCACCTGAGGGACGCGACTGGGATAAGGTCGAGAAACCCCTGGATGACCGCAAGAACAAGGTTGGTCATCAGATGTCTGTCTTTCTTGGGAAAAAAATATAAAAATAAATTATCTTGGCACACAGAGCACATTTTCCATGTTTACATCATGAAATGTGAGAAAATGTTAGCTGTTACTGGTGATAGGCTATACATCATGCATTCCTCTCCTTAGATCAAAGACATCACCATGGAAAACGCCAAGCTGATGATCCAGATTAACAACACCAATATGGCTATTGACGACTTCAAGAACAAGTGAGTTTCATGGAATATAGTGTTTTGAGAAATTTGATTTTTGCCAGAAAAGAGAAATAAAACAATAATAGTTGGACATGCATAACTTTTAAAGTTGCAATTTCTGCTGCTGCTGATGCCAGACAGCAATTCATATCACTACAAAGTCTGGTGTTTATGTGGATCTTTATTGGGCTCCTCTCTGTGTGCAGGTTGGATGATGAGAAGAAGGCATGTAAAGAGTTAGAAAAAGACCTGGAGGATGTGAATAAGACCGCAGAGGCTACCAAGCTGAAAAGCGAGCAGACAAAAAAAGAGATTGATTTGGTGAATGAGGAGCTCGCTCGCCTCCAGCAGGAACACAAAGACGTGAGACCTGAAACAAACACATACAAAAACACACAAGATCAACTAATTGCATTGTGTGAAATCTGAAGCAAACTTATAACAGTGGCTCTTGTAGGAGGTGGATGACCTGCGTGAGAAGATCAAGGATTCTGAGGTGAAGGTGGAGATTGATTCTCCAAACTCTAACCTGGCTCAGACTCTCAACAAAATCCGCATCCAGTACGATCAAATAGGCAAGAAGAATATGGAGGAGACCGAGGACTGGTACCAGAGCAAGGTACAATACCTGCAGGATCCAGACCACTCTTATGTCATATTGTTCTCATTGCTTCTCTTTATCTCACCATTTCCATCTTGTTTGTCCTTCTCCAGTTTGAAAACATCAAGGTGGTGGAGGCCAAAAACAGCGAGGCCTTGAACTCTGGAAAGAAAGAGCTGAAGGATCTGCTCAAACAGAAACAAACCCTGGATATTAAGATCCAGAGTCTGCACAGCACGGTAACCACACACAAGATGTTTCACATACAGTACGTCTCCTGTCACACTAACATGAAATACAATGAAAATACAACAAAGAGAAATCACTTGGAACAGCAGTTGAGCTTTATTGTTCCTTTAATACATTCTCATGTTTGTAGAGGCTTTGTTCTGAAACGTAAAACCTCAACATCAACTTTAGCAATGTTTTCACATAATCATACTGCAGCTTTTGTAACAGTAGATCCCAATCTGACCCAAAGTCCTAAAACCTTTGAAGCAATTCTTCAGGTTTACAGAGCAAAATATTTACCAGTCTGCTTTATCATGTCAGGAATGCTAAAACCACATATGTGGGTGTTTGTCTAGCTGCACTTTTCACGAGCATTCCTGAATGCCCTGTCATTGTAGTGTAAACCTGCTACTTTAAGTACTCTGTAGTTTGACAAAACACCTGGATCTGCTCTTGCATAACAAAACAAACTGTAAGGCTCCTAATGAGTGACATTGACCTGTTATGTGCTTTTTAAAAGTCAAAAAAACAAAAACATAATTTTTAAGCAACACAGATTTGAGGATAGGATAAAAAGTATCATATGTCTCCCCTTCAGATCCGCAATCTGGAGGAAACCCTGAAGAACACCAAAGCGGAGTACGGTCAACGTATGGGCCCCATCAACAAGGTGATACTAAACCTGGAGGCAGAGCTCAAGGAGATGAGGTCACAGGTGGAGCGCCATGTAAACACCAACAAGAATCTGCTGTGCGTCACGATGAAGCTGGAGTCAGAAATCAATAACTACCAGCAACTGATTAATGGCATGAGCGCTGATAGGTGAGGATGGTCAGGGCACAGGAATACTTCATGGTGGTTGTAGTTGTATGATGTCAAATGAAATTATGTGTCTCTGTCTCTGCCCATGGGAAATATAAAATTGGTTATTTGGAAAGAAAACAACTGACAGTGACACTTCCAGAAAAGGCTGCAGATTATTTGCCTCCCTAGCAGCTAGTTAGCACAGCTTAGTATAAAGACTGCATAAAGGCTAAGCTAACTGGCTTTTAATTTAATTCCTGGCAAGAAAGCCAACAAATGTATTTCCCAAAATATCAAATCATTTTTTAAAAAGGTTTAAAGTTATAGCATAAACACACCCCAACACACACAAAAGCATGGTCTGCTTATACGTTAGTATACTTATGCTCCTCTTCCCTGACAGCTTGGAGATTTCTTTAGAAGATGCATTGGACAGTGGTAAGTTCTGGATCTGCCTGTGAAAAACCATAACTTTAAATAAAATCACAGTGACTAAGCATGTTTGGGCTGTGACCTGATTGCTAAAGTTTATCTCTGCTGCCTGGGTCAATTACTGAGATGCTTTCAGTTTGGTCTTTTAATCTCATTGGCCCCTGTCCAACAGACCAAAAAAATCATCAGAATTTGAAAGAGCTAGAAAATGTAAGCAATATACTTGATTACATTCCTCACTTAATAATTTTGTAACATGGATGCAATAACCATGAGGTTTACAACTTTGTATTCTATTAAAATCAACAGCGGAGTTGAAGCGCTGCATGCAGAGTTAAACTTGAAATATAACACTCACAACACTTTTTGAAGTAATAGTTTTTGGAAATTGGCTTTTTCACTTTTTTTGTCAACAGATGAAAAGATTGATAACACTCAGATGTCTTTCTATTTGCTATTAGGCTCCAGCGAGCAGCCAGTATTAGCGGAGTGGACACCCTGCTTCTGTCCAAAAACTGTCTTACCAGTACCTCTAAAGCTCAGTAACTAACACGTTATATCTTATTTGTCTAGTCTGTACAAAAAAATTGTAAAAACTTTAATTTACAAGGGTTATGAGCTTTAGAGGTACAATTAGGATTTCCTCCGGACAGTGCTAAGCTAGCTGTTTCCTCCTGTATCTCTAAGCAAACGACTGCTGGCCCTAGTTTCAGATTTAACAGACAAATACGACAGAGGTATTAATCTTCTCATCTAACTGTGTGCCAAAAAAAAGTACATTTCCGAAAATGTCAAATGATTCCTTTAAAGCTAGTTGTGTCACTAAATTGCAATCAGTTGTTGTTGTCACGTTGCACCCTGTACCTGCATGCAATCCCTGTGACTTCATGTAATCACACTACTTATATTTATTATAGATGTAATGGTTTTTACAAGCAAATCATATTTGTCATTTTGTTGTTGATCATTTGTTGACTCTAGCTGAAGTACACACAGGTTAAAGGACCAGAAGAACACATTTATATGCTTGAAACCTGTAAAATATGATATTTTGTTTCCAGACCAGCAGAAGCCGGGAGATAAGGTGCCCAAACCGGGCACGGAAGAGGTAAAAGAAGAAGCCCCTGTGAAGCAAGAGAGCCCCTCTAACAAATCCACCCCCTAATAAGTAAACCCCACTAATAAGTAAAAACCCAAGCCAAAAAATAAGAAGGGTTCATCCTCACAATCTTCCTCCTACTCTTCCTCGTGTTCCTCCTCCTTCTCCAATAAGGAAACGAAAAGCCCAAGAATGAGCGTGAAGTGGCCATAGCCTGATCTTGAGTAGCTTTTTTTCTGCTCTCTGTTAATTTTCTGTCACTCTGCCAAGTATCTTGTCAGTTTCCTATTATTGCTGTCAAACCAGTAAAGCTACAATGACATTAAGCTTTATTTTTTCAGATGTCAGTAAATAAATTGATATCAAAAGGAAGATGCGCTGCAGTCTCTTGATAAATGCATTTTGTGGCAATACACTAATTTACCTTCATACAATATAATTTAATGATCATTAAGTGCTGTGATTCCCAACCAGGGATTGCAGTTACCAGGGATTATGTGGATAGATTGTTAGGTGGCACAACCACTTTGAAAAAGTAAAGTAAAATAAAAAATATGCCTACACACATACTTGTGTTTAGCAGGGAAATAAATAGGACTTGTTACTTTTCAAGAGATTGGTATGAGGCTGAACTCTGATTATTTTTACTATGGAGTAATCTGACAATTATTTTCTCAATTCATTGTTGAAACTGAAAATTATGAAAATAAAAATTATATGACTACAGAAATTGTTTTTACTATAGATATTTGATGTAACTTGGGACTGAAGCAGGTCATGTGACTGAGGAACTGAACTGCACCATCCTAATATATATTAGCCATACAGAAGCAGGTCTCTCTCTCTGTCCTCTAGAGGAGAACAGCAGATGAAGGGAAAGAAAGTGCAACGGCAGATTTAAACAGAGCTGTTTGCTGTTCTCACTTGTTATTTTTCAAATAAAACAAATCTTTATTTCATACAAGGCAGATTGAGTGGGGAATTATTGACAAAGTGGTATGGCAGCTCCCAAAATATTATATGCCATCTTTAGACATTCAAACAGCATGTAGACAAAGTATTTGGTACACAAATGGTTAACAGCTCTTGTTCTCTGCAAGTATTGAAAGATTGTGTCCTGCTCCTTCACACACTTCATAATGGTTTTGCCTGCTGCCTACCTTTTTCTGACTCTCAGCAACTTTATTCATAAAGTTACAAAAAAAATTCTGTATGTATATATTAAATATACCGATGAGAAGGATATCATGAACTCAACAATTGTAAAAATTCTAAACCAATACAGGATCATATAATCCTTAAACTGATTTACGGATTAAACACTGGACTTGCATGGCAACAGTAAAAGCTAGAAAGCTTACAAATAAGTTATAATAAAACATCTTTTAAGAGCCTTTAAATCAAATAAGAAACAAGACTACCTTTGAGTTTCCAGTATAGGTTACAGGTCAGTTATGGGATCTCTTAATTTTTTTAAAGTCTCTGATATTGTCAAATGAAATAAATAAATATGAAGAAAATTTATAGAAATATTCCGCAAAGTCTGAAACAAAAATATTCTGTGTGGATTGTTAAAATTCTGGGGAAAACCGTAAACATGAGTGGTTGTACAAGAGGCACAAAGTCAGCACACACTGCTACCAGAGATGCTTTTTTGTAAGAGTGATTTATTTATTTATTTTTTAATGACAATGGTCATGACGACATGAAAGCACAGAGAGGGAGGGAGGGGGGATTGAAATCATCCGACACATGGATATTGCATGGTGAGGGTTGAGGGGCAAGCAAGAGTACCAAATGGAGTAAAAGATATCGTATCAAAAATTTCAATTTTTTCATATATATTTATATAGGACTAATAATTCTCTTTAACTATGCAAAGCAAGGAATGCCCTTTTTACATTTATCTTGAGCCTTGGCTTTCCCTAAGTAGAGCCAAAATTATTATTCATAAAAAAAAGAAAAAAAAGAAAGACTGGACACGTTTTTGGGGTTTGGGCGGGGGCATTAAGAGGCATCCTGGAGTCCTGTCCGATGTGGCGTAGAGTCTCAGTGTAGCGCATTTGGGCGTGTCCATAGGGTTTGGGATTTTTCTGGTGGGGGTGGCCTCAACGGGAGAAGGTCTTTCCACTGAAAAATCAAACAAAAACATATTAGACACCACACAAAGGACATAATTTAAAACAGGTTATGGTCTTTCCTGGTATACACACAGCTCAAACCATTCAGGAGATACTACATCATGTTGCAACATCTAAATTTAGTGGCTGCTTTAACTACATGTAAAAATGATCTTTTAGAGGAATTGATTGACATATTGGGAAATACGCCTAATTGCGGTCTTGTTGAGAGTTAGTTGAGAAGATGTATCCCACTGATGACTGACAGGCTGTTGAAACTTGCTGTACATTCTTATTTCTCTTTCTCTTTCTCTTTTTATTATATGTAATTGTTTTGGCACACTGAGAGCTACTGAAATATTCCTTTTGTTACAAAAATATTTGGCAGTTAAACATTGTAGTGATACTGAAAGGTGTAAGACGTTTGCCTCAAAGGGATTCTTCAAATCGACCAAATAATTCAACCAATATATTGCTCTGCTTTCTTTGATACTTTTTTTTTATCTCAATTTGACACCAAAACCAAACAGAAGACCTTATCAGCATTCTTGCCTAGATTTGCTTAGTGACAATATTATTCTATTTCATTTTCATATTCCTAACAATTTCTTGGCTGGCAGCATTTGTTTGTACCTTGTAATCAAACCCAAGATTCATGTATAATGTTTCTCCCACTTTGAAACTCAGGAACATGGCAGCTATCTTTCCCTACTTATTCCAGTTACACATTAACCACATAACAAAGACTTTCTGTGCTCCACAGTATGTGCAACTGTTTGGAGGTTTTAGCAAAGATGATGAGATCTGTAGAAATTCATTCCTGACTCACTTTAAACAATGCTGGCGGCACACATGGCCACACACCTCAAAAACACAGACATACGGCTGCAGCTGACTAAAAGACAGTGGAAAAATGATCCTATCTTAGAAAATGTAGAGGTAGTGTATATGTCAAAGCTGAATCCGGCTGTACATTTTGTCTGAAATGAAGTCCCACAGCAATGATTCCTGAACATTACAGCCTTCATTTAAGATCTGAGTAGTGAAACAGGCAGAGAGGAAGCTTAAAATATTGCAATTAATAACCTGTACAATAAAATCAAATCTGCTAAATTAAGCTTGAAGAAAGAAACAGTAGGTTTAAAATCGTGTTTATGGCATCAAAAAAAAATACCACTTTGACAGTAGAATCAGAGACTCAGAAATGTCAATTTTATCCTAAACTTTGGTCCTTACCTTGTTCTTCTTACATGAATGTACTGGACCAGTACAGACCTTTGCACAAACGGTGACTACATATCAGAGCGGTGGTTTAGACACCAGAGGAGAAATGCAGAGGCTACTTACGACATGGTCTTCATCTCTTTCTTCTCGGCGTCGGGTCGAGCACGGTTCAGCACCTTGAGGAAGTCTGACGTCTTGGCCCTCATACGTGTGTGAATGTAGGCCTGCGAAAGAAAAAGCGCTACATATGAGGGGATTCTCACCATGTCATACCTTGTATCTTTCATCTAATCTTGGAATGAATATTTAGAGATATGCTCCATTTGTTTTCTTTGGAAGTGTCGCAATTGTTTAATTACCTAAATAAATAAATTAATATAGGATGTTGACATTTTGTGACAGGTGCAGTATCTTGAACACTGCGTGCAGCAGAGACAGGGCCAATATTGAACAGTTGTTTTGACAGTATATAATTTCCTGTTTGTCAAGTGTAACCCAACTACTATTTTCCATCCATCCATCTGCCATGCCTTCAAGGCAAACCTTGAGTATTTCATTTTGTGTGTAATGCACGCACGAACACACACAAAAAACAAAAAACCTGTATGATCACTTGAGGAGCAAGTCGTCGCCAGGTAGGGCCTTCGTTTGATCTCACCTATGGCTGGACTTTCTATTATAAATAGACCCTGAAATAATAGACGGAACATACTAATACAAAGGAGGACTTTATGGCTTGTTTGTAGCCTGTGATTAAATCAGCTTGTAATGGATGTTCAACAGGTGTTTCTTTAATATTCATTTAGTTATGGATCTTCATGCTCAATTATGTATCATCTAACAAACAAAACAATACCAAAAATAAAAAACAAGCATTTCTTACCAACTCCAGAACCCACTGGAACTTGTGCTTAACTAAAATTGCATGAGTGGGTCACATCTAAAAGCCCTCATTTGAATATCAGGAAATAAAATGGTTTGTTCCTGTTGTGCTGTTGCTAGGAAGGCTCAATATGAGAAGTTTGTGAGTCAGACAACTATTTTAGTCATTTAGTCAACTCATTTAAACTAAATTCTGGGGAGCTGTTCTTCAGCCATTCATTAAGAGGGTTATAAAACACCGTTTGTAGGTAACATCTTAAGATCCATCTCTATTTCAAAGAGTCTTAAAGGCAAACTTGCCCTGACCCTACAGATTCTTTTTTCCTTGAAAGAATCCACTGGACTCTAGTTAAGCTGAACTGACCTTGGAGCACTTTATGTGGTAGTGCAGATAGTCCCTGAAGGTGTGGATGAGGTTGATGGTGTTGTCTCTGGCATTGGCATTGGTGTGACGTGGGAACAGGACTGAAAACATAAACACAGTGCATATACATCAGAATCAATTACCATTGTAATGTAGCTGCAAAACAGGCAAAGCAGTTTCAGCCAACAGGTACTGACCAAAGGTGATGTATCCAATGTTGTCCCCGACAGCGGCGTCCGTGTCCTTAAGCTCCAGTGGGGGCTCCCTGTGGCTGAACAGCACCTGTGGGGCTGTGTGGCTGGCTCGCCGACCCTCTTTGAACTCCTACACGCAGAACAAGCAAGTGTACAGTACCAGAGGGCTACTTCTTTATTCATTTTAAGTTGCAGTAAAATACAACATAAGAGGTACAGTACAGTCAATTACCTAATTACTCTTCTTAAAAAGACAAAACAAACCCCATGCAATTCCAGGTCACAAATGTATATATTATATCGGAAAAGTGTGAGTTTTAGTTGCTATAGTCCTCTAAAGAAAATACTTGGGGACGTTAGCTTAATTAAAAAATGTTAGCTTAACAGCAAAGATGAAAATTTGGTCAATGTCAAAATATTTTTAATCAATCAAAATCAAGAGTGATGAATGATTTCTCCCTTTATTCATAAGTGACTATGTCAATCAAGGTTAGCTTGTTACTACTTGTTTATTTAGTTTGCTACAGGCTGCTAGAGCTAATGTAATCTTAGAAGGTTAGCTAGGCTAAGTAGCTAACTAAAATAAAC